GCTTTAATATTGTATATGTTCCTTGTGTGCTGCCCAAACACTTCTGACCCACTGGGGCATAGACACGGGACATCTTAGGGTGTCCGATGTGGTCTAAGATGGGTGGCAAGGTGAGGTCTATGTGGATCGACCTTTATCTGGCACATTCAATAGATGCTAAATCCAATTAAGATCTGAGGAGTTTGGAGATCAGGTCAACACCTTGGGCTCTTTGTCGGGTTCCTCAAGGCATTTCTGAGCAGTTTTTGCACTGTGGCAGGGTGGACTATCCCACTGGGAGCTGGTTCTGGAACAACATGTAGGTGGGTGGTATGTGTCAATAACATCCACATAAATACCAGGACCTACAGTTTCCTAGTAAAACATTACATTGTAAAGACATAATCAGTGTAAGCTGTACTTTCATGCCTAATTAATAAAACTGACCCAAATTGGAGAAGTGTTCAGAATGTTCCTCACAAGTTCTGACAGTTTCAATATATCTGGGCAAAAACAAGGATATTTTTTTTACTTGCTTGGACAGAAAACAAGAGGATGTAGGCTAAAATGTTGATTTAAAAGAAAAGTCCTGCTTCTACATGCAGGTAGCAATGCTTCAGGGGGTTTTGGACAGCTTTCATTGCATGATACAAGTCATCGCTTCAGAGTTCTGCAATGACATTTGTCAACAAACCTGCTTAAGTACTTGCAGTTCCAGTCAAAAGTGGGAAGTTTCCTGCAGGGACTGGCATTTTAGATGCTGGATCCTGTACAGGAAAGACAGCTGGAAAAAAAAAACAAAAACAACAACATTAAATCAGGAAATGAAAAATATAAAAAATATTTCCAAAGCTTAAGCATACATGTTTACACAGAAATGAAAACACAGTATGTTGACTATGGGTAATCATAACATTGGCGCAATGTCAGTAGTACACCTGATTTTAAAAAAATAATTAAAAAAAAAAAAAAAAAAATCCATGCATGCAATTACATTATCGGCTTAGTCCATGTGCAGAGCTCTTCTGACACCGTTAAATACAATTCAGTGTTAATGCATTGCTTTATGATAAAGTATTTAAAATGCAAAGTTATTCTTTATTATTTTGAAACTTCGGTGTACTTTAACACTGCAGTGGCATAAATATTTGTATGAATCTTGAAATTACAATATTGAAGTACAGTACTGGAAAACCATGCACGAACATGCAGCAGTGTGTAACAAACATGCATGAAAATGCCTTTTTCTCAGGCTCCGGTTTGTGTGTGATTATGGTAACAACTAAGAGACACAAACACACTCACACTACAGCCACCCCTTTATCTCTAACTCCGGAACAAGAATGCAACACAAAATATGGTAATTTTAATACAAAATTGTTGAAGTGTGACACAACTATATCGCGAACATGTAATGCTAACAGTCAGTGGAGATAATATGTTGTGTTATATTGCTTCAGGAAAGGCTAAATCTAAATGTAATATTCATTCATATGTAAGTCAGACTTCAGGTCATATTAGTTGCTATACACTTCACATTAGGAATACATGTTACAGTTTAAAAAGAACCCGTGAACAATACTTACGGCATTTTTGAGTTTCAGGCTGTCAGATGTGTTCGCTAGCAGTTTCAAAAGCTGGCGCCTTTGCTACACGCAAAACAGTTCGTATTAAACATGACCTGTCATATACAATGTTCCGGCTATTCTTTATTGCAAGTAGGACTCAAACAAAGCACGCAACCTTTTTAATCCGTAATTACATTTTCAATTATGGTATTTAATTTTCTTAAACACAGAGGTGCACTTTGCGGCACCATTTTAGTTGTAATAGCAACAGGAACGTTTTAATGTTTGTTTCTTCCGTGTCGGTTTTAATGCACACCGCTGATATGTTGTTTACCTAGCAACAGGCAAGAGATAGCAACCGTGTGTGACAATTGTCACTCCCAGCGCGAATCTGATTCAATAAAATAGAATTATCATGTTTCCAGACAGTTGTCACGGTGTGATAGTGAAGTAACACTAGCAGAATTTAGCTTAAGTTCGCTGCCGTATCAGTCTGCTGTCTGTTTTTCTCTTTCTTTAGCTGGAGAGACGGAGCTCTAGCGGTATCCAGGTGGATCTCTTCTTCCAAAGATGTCTTTTCAGGAGTCGCCTCGTCCTTCCGACGAGGAGGAGGCTTTCTACATGCAGTGCAGAGCTGCGTACCTCGCTGTGTTCAGATCTAGTTTGACAAATATCGCTTCGAAGCAGCAGTTATGTCGTGGTAAGCTGCACTGACACTGTTAAATTCCTTGCTAATATGTTAGCTAGCTAGCTGTCATGGCTGCCTTTGTCAAATTAAAAGAAAGATACAGTTTGAATATAATTTATTCTCAAGCTTTTGTAACATACAGCTCACACACTACGTATGGGGAAAATGGTGAGTTATAAATATATGTATATTCATGCTTATGGGACACTGTCAGCCCTGGATATTTTACAGGAATGTGGGCCATTTTCTGATATACAGCTGAAAACTCTGAAGCTTTACAATGTTTAAGCCTAGCTGGAAGTAATATATAAAACTGAAAAATTATGAATTCATAGACTCAGCTGCTGACAAATAGATGGTAAAACTGGATTTTTAGTGACCCAGCTGTTTATATCTGCACATACTGACTTTTGTGTTCCAAAATAAGTAAACGTAGAACATTTTTTTTTAGGACTGACTCCTCCAAGCCTGTCTGATAGAAAAAGTGGAACTTCAACATTAACTAAAGGCATATCAAATATCATGCACATCATCAGCAATAATCATAATAGATGTAACTGTGCAGTCATTAATAACATGGAGTCTCTCAATAATATACACTAATTTCTTCTGAAGACAGGATATGAACTCTTTATTTAGGGTAAAGCATGGCAATCCTTATATGAAAGTCTACACAAAATCTTGAACTTTAGGGGTTTGCTGTTCAAGTTCCCAGTAGTACAGATTGTACAGTTTGCTATAAAGCATTGCTTTGTAGTGTATTCTTAGTTCTTTAATAATTCATGTGTAATTGGCATTCCTTGTTCCACTGTTGTTAGTTGTCATATTCCTTTGCTGCTATTTTATGTTATTTTTCCCATTTATCCCATTCAGTTCTCCAGCAGGCTGGAAGAAATCCATCTCATGCCACTCTCAATAAATATTGGACTACCAGAACGTACAAACTGAACTTTGATGACTTCTGTGAGATTGTCAAGTGTGAGAAGAAAACTGAGGAAGCTGAGCTGATGAGAGCTTTTAAAAAGATGGATGTGAATGGTGACGGCTACATCACACACAGTGAACTGGAGAAGGTTCTAACCACTGTGAGTAGTTGAAAACATCTGGTATTAGACAGATTTGCAACAAACTGGATACTATTGGCTCTTTGTTTTGATATAGTTCTACTTTTTTGTATTCTAATTTTTAAAATATATCTTATGTTTGAGTGAACTGATTACCTCAGTAGCATTTTTACTACCTTTTTTTACTAACAGTTGCGGGTCCATTTATTTACGTTATCACAGACGTGGATTGCCTCAAGATTAAATAGCTAAAACCAGTGAAATGTCCATGTTTAAACAAAATAGATATTTTTGTCCTGATATTTTCTCTAATGTGTTTAATCTTCCAGGGAGGAGAGAAAATGACATCTGAGGAGGTGAATGCTATTTTTTCATTAGCTGACATCAACACGGGAGGCAAATTGGACTATGCAGAAGTAAGTTTTGATAATTTTAAGGTAACGTGTCCTTATCCTGTTGTCCCTTTGCAGTATATATCAAATTTGCTGTGTCTACAGGTTATCTTATGTGTTAAAGTCTGTATGAAGTGCATTTTAAATAACCTTTTCCCTTAATTAATACATTTACTCTGACTGATCAGCTTAGATAATCAATTCTGTCAAGTAGTCACAGCACTAAATTCAGGTTATAGTACCAAAAATAGCCAATGACTGCATTGAAGTATTCCAACCTTAGTTTAAATCCATCATAGTTAAAGATACAATATTTTTTTGTATGTCTCATTCATTCAGACCATGAAGAAAAAACAAATTGGCATAAATCAGGAGTGCAAAACAGAAATTTTATCCCTCTCACAGTTTGCCCCATGTCTGTCTTTATTTAATGTCATATTCTTATTCTTAGCATTCTCTCCTTCCAGAGTAGGAGTGTTTATGCCCCTCTTTGTGGCCTCAAAACATTGTTCATGTATCATCCTCTTACTACCGATCTCCTGTTGCTGTCAGTTCTGCAGATTGCTTGTGTCTGCAGTGGAGCTATGTCAAACAGCTGCTTTGGAAAGGCTTGAGGCTGATGCCAAGCTGAAGAGACAGAACTTTGGCAGTCAATCATACAGCCCTCCGAAGAGCTCCGTGTCATCATCAGGAGCAGCGGCGGCTCAAGTGGATGCAACTCACCGGGCAGAATCAGACTCAACACTCAAGAAAGGTTAAAAAAAAAAATGTAGCTGCTTAGACTCATTTAACAGAGGAGAGGCCATCTGAATTTAGGCAAATAAGTATGTGTTTGATTAAAAAAAATATATTTGTGTAACAGTAGTTAAAGGTCCAGAGTAGCAGAATGTGGTAGCGCAACAGCAGACATACTCCAGATACCTGTATTTGGATGCACACCCATACACAGTGTTTGCCCCAATACGCCTCACCGATTAGTTTTGATGAATAAATAATAGCTCTGTTATTGATCGATTTTTCACTCCCCCCCTCTGTGACAAATCACCTCATTAAGACAGTCCATACATCATAATAGCCACACAATTAGGGCAGCTTGTTTGGAGGGTGGAGACTGTAAAGTGTTTTGATTTGGGTAATCATTTCTGCCATTAAGGGATTGACAAAAGCTCTGTCTACTCTGAAGAAAAAAACTGTCTTCGAGTTAGAGTTCCATGTGATGTGTTTTTGTAGCTAGAGCTTGAATCCACCCAGGTTTCTGTTTTTGAAATGGACGTAATGAATATGTACCCCCTCAGACACTTCTCTTTGTAAAAGTGCATGTAAAACTCCACTTTTCGCTCTAGATTCACAGTGTTGAAGAAAGGCAGGGAAGAAACTGAGATCCAGGGTGAGCGAGCCAGGGACAGGCCCGCAGTGGGAAGATAGATGGGGTTGATTTAAGTGGTCAGTCCATGTTCATGTTATTGATTTGGAGGATTCCACCACTTCTCACTGGGGAGATGATGAGGGATTAGAGAGGAGGCCCAGTCGACCACCACTGCAAAAACAAATGAGCTCCCAGATAGTAGTCGGGATTATCACATTATTGTGCCTCTCCCATGTATTGATTTATACCCGTTACATTTTAACAAGGCTCTGACACGAGATACTACGTGAGCGCACATGTTGAATGGGTTATTCTTGGAGCTCAAAAACAGTTTTGACTGCTCATTTGGTCTTACATTTGTCAGTAGAAACCAGTGCTAGCTCGAAAAGTGCATTTCAGCCGTATTGAACATGTGCAGTTTTGGCTGATTTTGCAAAAAAAATAGTAGCTGACATTGATTATGTATTCAGAGTTTGTGTCACTGTGTTTTAACTGATAAACCAGCTCTAGAAAACTGCTAGTGCTGAAACACATCTCCAGCATTCAATATATATATATTTTGTTAGGCCACAATTCAGTGCATCTTTGTCCACATTCACACAAGAGCTACAATTTGATTCGCTAGATTCAAAAGCTGACATCAATACAAAATAGATCCATGACAAATACTGTGTCAGTGGGCCTTTTTGTTTCTATGCTACAGTAATTTGCCTATAAACCTATCACATTACTTTGCATCTTGATTTCCCAGGCTTAGAAACAATCAGACTCTTCATTAATGAATTGGTATTTTCTGGCTTCAATTAGTGTTTCGAGGAAAAAGTTGTGCGAGATAATTGATTTGAAAAGGGCCTTTTATGTCATTTGTGATTTAAACAGCCTATGTAAGTAATTAAAGGGAGCTTGAACTTGAAATCACACTTTCTCAGAGCCCAAATGCAAAATATCTATCTTCACTTGAGCTCTGGGATGGACTTATGAGAAGACAGATTGTTGTGTCAATTATGCTGTGCCCCTCATCTCTCTTTTGAAAGTGTGTTTACTGTTTGGAGGGAGAATAAGCCTGGGTTTTTGGTTTATTTTACTATCTGTCCATAAGAATAAGAATGTGTGTCTTTTAGACAGCCGATCGTCCTCCCGTCCTTCTTCCGCTCGCAGCAGACGCTCCTCGCTGTCGAACTCCATCACAATGACATCCAGCAGCACGAAGGCCAGCAAAATCCCAGAGCCTCCCGGTTTACAGGTAACCCCCTTCACTCATTTTTTTCCTTCTTTACAGCTGATGATTAACTTCAATATTAATTAACCCGTCAGTTATATTTCCAATGAATCATTCAGTATTTTAAATTGTCTAAAACTTCGAAGGTTGATGACATCTTTAAATAGCTTTTCTTTTTTTGGTTTAAACCTGGAACCACAGAACAATTAAACAACTAAAACAATTACCTAATTATAAAAATCATCTGCAATTAATTTTCTATCAGTTGATTAATTGAATAATTGACTAATTGTTCCCAGATTCTAAACTCAATCTCCCAGACTGGTGTGTGAATATGGCTATTTTTTTAGGAACCAATGAAAGACAGTTTTCTAAGCCGCTTTCAAATATTAATCTAAGCAGTAACATGAGCCCAGTTTTAAAATCAGAATTAATCATTTCGTAGCATTTTGTCCATGTCTAGTAATGCTTTTAATGGCTTTTGTTTACCAAAAATGTTATCTGATGAGATTGTCTATGATTTACAGTGGATGCCTATTGTCTTCTGCAGTATCGTAAAGATCTTAAAGAAGCGCTGTTTGTACCATCACTGAATCGCTGCCCAAACGGAAATTCTTATATGAGGGGACTCTATTATAAGAAGAACCTTGCAGCCCTACAGTTCACTCAGTGTGACTGTCACACTGTGTTTTTGATGGGCGAATTTAGCCAAGGGTGGATAGATATACACAGTATTGATCCCATGCTCTTTGTTTTCACTCTTTTTGGGCTTAACCTCAGCTGGTTTGCTTTACAGCAAGGGGAAAAAAAAGAGTAAATAAATAAATAAATAAATAAATAAAAATAACAGCTTCTTGCTCCATCTCTCAGGTCCCAGTACCGTGTTGAGATTGGAAAGGGCCAGACATCATCGAGGTTAAAAAAAAAAAAAAAGAATGTGTGTCCAGAGATTTCCTCTGAGGGAACTTCTGCTCGCTATATTGGCTCCTATATTGCCACAGGCTCATAATTGGGAGGTGGTTGGTGGAGGGTAGGATGTGTTTTTGTAACGGTGTGAGTGTGTGTGTCTGTGAGCCTTGTAGGATGCAACTGTGTCTTCATGAATAGAAACCTAAGCGGTAAGGATTATTCTTGTGTATTCTTAGCATTTGTCTGTATGTATAGCACTGTAGGAAAGTGGAAAGGCTGCAGTTTAAAGGTGCAGCTGTGTGGTTGTGTGTGTGGTTGTGTTTGCAGCTGGTTTGGTGTCCTGCGACCCTCTGTGAAGCAGTAAATCAGACCTGTGGCCGGAGCAGATGACAGCGCCTGTATTAGTCTGCAGGCTGACCCTCTCTCTATGGGGGCATTAATTCTGATGTCTTTAAGCAGTGGATGGGTGCCCATGGCATTTTCCCTCATTTAATATTGTCTGGACAAACCACTGAAGTGTTATGGTTTGATCTTTTATGCCTCGCACAGCCCAAGATAAATACTTTGAGAAAATGGCTTTTCTCTAAAGGAGTGACATGCTCCGTCTTTATGGTTCTTTCTTTGTTTAACTTGGTGATTTATTTGTCCACTAAAAGGATATATAGCCTATTCCAGACTCGCTTGGCCCTTAATGTCCTGTTACTGTGTGTCCACACCAACCGTGTTTTCGTTTAATGTGTCTCCAATGAGCGGAATGAAAACTTCCCTGTGTTGATGTTCCTGTTCAATTTCAAATTACTACCTCATTTCAGTTGTGCTGCCAGACAAAGGAACAACAAGATTTCAAAATGAGAGAAATATTAGGATTCATAAATATTGCTAAAGTAGCCTCTTGACATTTTTGAATGACCGCTCACCCAAGATTGAAAAGGCTGTATTTATCAAAGTTAAATGGAGTCCAATTTGCCATATCAAGTCCTCGAGGGAGATTTACTTGAGCCTGCAGCCGAAACTCAGTGTGACAAGTCTGCCCTCCTCTGGATCAGCACGTGTATAACGTGTGTTCATGCTGCTAAGCTGACATACAGCGCAATAATGGATGTGCCCACCGAAGACTGGTGTGGTAATTATCACAATGGCAGTTTTTGTTAATCAAGAGAGCTGCTTCACTATTATGACTGACTGCTTAATTCATTTTGCCATGCCAAAGTAAACTCCCCCCCCCTATCACAAGATCAATCCCCCTTTTAATAGAAACTGCAAATTAGTTTTGGTTTCTGTTGAATGAATAAATGCATTTTGTTGTCAAACAGCAAAACAATTTGTTGCGATGGTTTTGGGGGTTCGAACAGAGACCACACATAGCAAAATATAGTGCATATTATATATTTTTTTAAGGTTATTTGTTGGGGGCATTTCATGTTTCCATTAGATTAACAAGACAAATTGGGGAGAGACAGTATGAAAATGATCTGCAGCATATGATCTGGCCAGCTGGGATTCAAACTGGGAATCACTGCTCAAGGCATTTGTTCTGACGTTGTATGCGCCTCAACCACTCAGCTATCGGGTAGCTCCGGGTGGCTCTGTTAGTTAAGCGGTCATATTTTCCATTGTTCTAGGAGTGGCATCACAGCTATGTGAAAGGATGCTTCTTTTTAGAGGACGATGGAAGTATCAGCTCTCTGCAGTACCAGCTCCACGTCCCCCAAACAACCAACGTCTACCTAACCGTCCAACCACTCAGCCTCAGCCAAAGAACTGGTAGGCACCTGCTCTGTTATACACTGACCGGCCACAACATTAAAACCACAGACAGGTGACGATGCAGTGTTCTGCTGGGAAACCTTGGGTCGTGGCACACTCGTGTGGATGTTACTTTGACATGTACCACCAACCTAATCATTGCTGCAGACCACGCCCAACCCTTTGATGGCAACGGTCTTCCTCAGCAGAACAATGCACTCTGGCACTCTGCAAAAACAAAAAGCTTGAGGCATGACCTGACCTCCAAAGTCTTTAGATCCCAATCAGAACCAGCACGATCAACAGAGGCCCCACTCCGAAACCCACAGGACCCGAAGAATCCACAGCCAACATCTCAGTAACAGGCACCACAGGACACCCCGAGAAGTTCTATGTCCATAGCTCAATGGGTCAGAGCTATTTCGGAAGCGCAATGAGGGCTTATACAAATTTGTAGATTTAATCTTGTGGCTGATCAGTCTAAACATTTATTAATGAAAAAATTGCTTTAAAAAAAGAGTCATTTATTGTCTTGCTTGATTGCTGGCTGCACGATAGCTTCACTCTTTTAGTCGTGTGGTTTTAGAGGCTTTTAGTGACAGTAGGACATTAAGTATTGTCCTAGTTGTTAGTAGAACACCAGTCATAACATAAAAGACCACAAAGAGGTCTGATTTTCTTTTTAGCCTTTTCCGATCTTTTAGATAATGTGGCATCAGATCAGATTGTGTGTCAGCTCAGTGGAAGACAACTTACGAAGCAAATCAGTTCATTAAATTTGTGCAAGCAGTGGCAATGAGTGGACAGATGTATGCTGTAGGAAGACTTAGCAGATGTTAAGTCCTTATTTGTCCAATCAGAAAACAGATTGCATAAGCTTGTATATATTTAGCAAGTTTAATTCTTCAAAAACGGTTTGTTTGTATTGTATATGTGGCTTTGTTTTTGTTTTGTTTGTTTTGGAAAATGATATGAATGGTTCTTGTGATCTTGCTCTACTTTTCAGACAAGACCTCATCGTGGATGACGGTGGACACGGCACTTTTTGTCATGTCAGCTGGGGAAACCAAAGAGGACTCAACTTTAGTGTGTTTTACTGATTCAAAAGACAAAGACGTAGGTTTATGTGTGTTAAGAAATGCATATTTATTACCACATTAACTTATATTTCAAATCAGTTCCTATGGTACTTAATTCAAGTGGTCAATGTTGCAATCTGCCAGGGGACATTAATTATACAAGTTGAAGTCATTTCTGATGCAGTGAAGTTGACCCTTGATTGTACTGTATTCCAGGGCATACGTTGTGCTTTTACTTTACTTTGCCACTCCTTTGTCCCTACAGAAGTATGTTTGGAAAGGAGAGCTAAATGCTGGGACATACAACCTGCTTCCCTTCACCAGTGGCTGCAGGTTGAAGAAAAGGAGCAAGAAGAGCCTTTCTAATAAACCTGTGGAGTTAGTCTACAAGACTGACACTGGAGAACTAGACCTCACTCGGGAGCTGAGGTGAGTTTGCGTCAGTCCATCGTGACAAGAATAAAAACACACAGCGGAGTGTGATTTACCAGCTTTAGATCCAGGCCTGGATAAAAGCCTGCCCCTGCTTTCAACTCCTGTCACCACAGGACACAGGAGTAGAAAGGGAACAGGATTTGGCAATGGATTGATACATGGGACTGAACGAGGACAGATGAATGAGCTGAAGCCTCCTGTCTAAGGTCCAGTTGACATTTCTGTGTTGCTCTGCTTCTGCCACAGGGAGGTGCTGTCTGACATCTTTGAGGTGATCGATCTGGATGGTAGTGGTTTGCTCAGCCTGGAGGAGTACAACTTCTTTGAGCTGAGAACCAGCGGAGAGAAGTGTGACAAGGACGCTTGGGCCGTCTGCAAAGGTAGTCACTTCATGAAAGTTGTCTTCACAAAATTAATATGACATGTAAAAAAGAATTGGAAAGTAGGGGTCCAATGTGGTGCTCATTGCTTTTTTTAATTTATTTTTTTGTGGGGGCAGAAAACTTTGATATGAGAAAGAACCAGCTGACACGACAGGGCTTCATGGAGCTGAACCTGATGGAGGCCACAGAGAAAGATGGAGACCCTGCAGATTTGTGGGTCACCCTGGAAGCTATGGGATACAACCGCATGCTGGAGCTTGTAGAGGTCGGTTTGTACCTTTGATTTTATTCAAAATGCAAAAAAGCACACGCTTGAGTCTTGGTAAGACATGGAATGATAGCTTATACTTGACTATTGACTTGAACATATAGCACATGCACACCAAGACAAACACATCCAGACTCGATCCATAGTAACTAACCAAATAAACCCTCGTTCCCACTCTGTCAGGCTTGTCCATTCCAGATAGATGTGCACTGCGAAGGCACTCAGCCGTCTGTCCAGCCACTCAGCATGGACTCAGGGCCCAAGCTTCTAAACCAGGCCCTCCAGAAGTCCATCACAGCTCGGACAGGGGCCAAAGCACTGAGGGGGCATGACAATGTCTTCATCTACACCTACAGAGGAGAGCACAGGATCTCCTCCCTCATAGCCAACAAGGTAGACAATGCACTTTGAGTTGCAATGATGATCTGACTGTGCAGATAGATAAATTAAGAAATTCAAAATGTGACATACAGCATCATGGGATGAAGCAACCTACTCAGTTTAGCTGTATTGCAAAAAGGAAGTGAGTAAATAATCCTGGTTAAGTAAGATTGTTAATGTGCCATGTGTCCTAATAGCCACCAGAGGGATGATTTAATTTAAACTTTAAATGAGTTATGTACATTATTTTATAAACTCACACAGTGCTTGACATGACCACAAACAAGTACAAAAAAAGGAAAGGAATGACAATTATCATCATTTGCTAAATGTTAAGTGGTATTTGTTTGGAGCACAGAGCTTCAACATGTTTATTACTTGTCTAGTTTATGTCTATATACCTGATAAGGATATCTTTTCCCAAGTGTTTGTTGTTCTGTTTCAGTACAGTTTACAGCCAATAGTTGCTGGAGACATTCATTCCATTTGCAATTGATATGCAGTGGTGGTGTCCATTCTCATAGCAACAAGAGCTACTTTAAAAGAATNTTTTTTTACTATATGGAGCCCCATCTGCCCTATTGATTTCTGCATATTCACTGATTGGAAGTAAAGAAAATTAACTAGTACTCTTTGTTTTGCAGACTAACCAGAAAGTGACCGTCCATGTTAACAATGAGCAGAGCAGGAACTGCTGCAGCAGCAGAGGCATGACTGTGTTTGCTGTAGAAGTACCCGCCAGAACAAAGATGGTAGTAAATCTTCCTAAGTATATTGCTCAGTTATTACTGTTTGTTTAATTATCCTCAATATCATAAATATAATATAGCTTTTTCACATTTTAATTAAGTGTTAAATTCTCCCCATTGAATAAGAAATATTAGGATCCTGAATGACCATGTGTTGTCTTGGATGCTAAAACAGAACATATTTGTGCCTTCCACTAGGTGTGCCAGCATGTGCTACCCATTATTGAGAAACAGGACTGGACCTACAACTGTGTGGAGACCATACTACCCAGCATATAAGGCTGTACTCCCACAATAGACTGCTGTTATATTCTAGTTATATTAGAAATTGATGGACTGAAATGTATTCATCAGGATTTCACATGTGATGTATAAGGAACATACTTGTTCTCTATCCACTGGCATGATATTACGGATGTATTACAGAACACTTGTTATAGGTCAGCTGTAATGATTGTAACATGTATTTTCACTGTAGCTAACAAGTTTGAAATGGACCATTGCTTAATCAGTTTCAGAACTGAGACCATCTGCTTGATGACAGTTTCATTAAGTCTGTCTGCAGAAACTGGAGAAGGTTGTACAACTACACAAAGTACAGTTATAGTAGAGACAGTTACTGTTTTTCTGTTATTGTTGAGTAGATTTAGTTTCTTTCTGTTGTTACAGTTTCTTTCAGTTTACTTTCCCTTGAATGTGCCTTTGTCATTTTAATAGATACTGGATGAATGTAGAAAAATAATTACATATTTCTGTGTCAATAGTTATCATCTTAGATTCACAGAATGCTTAGATCAAGGGTTACTGACATGACAAATGAAAAATATAATAATGTCCTAATATAGAGGTTTTTAATCGGTAAGTACCAAACTAACTTTGTATGTCTTCTTATGGTTTTTATATTTTTGGCTTTGAAAAACTATTTATTTTTAATACTCACTTTTGTAACAGTTGTTGTAAATCAAGAAACTTTATCCAACCTTGCTATTAGACTCACATTAACATCTTGTTTCAAGAGAAAATACATGAAATAAAAGAAGAAACGCTCTCTCGCTCTGCCCTCTGATCTTTGTGATGGTGCACAGTGTTTGAATTACCGTCACTGTAAAGTCACCACAGTAGTTTTATGTGTTGTTTGAAAGGGAGCCTGATTTCTAAATGCCCAGCAAATGATTTCAGTAAGAGAAACAATGTTGAATTAAAGCCGCAAGCGGCGATGGACGGGTCCTCGCCCTACGCTTGTCGGCCTGCGCGCACGGCGGGGTGTGATCCGGCATGTGGAGTTTGGGGCAGATCGGAGCAAGTGTGGCCTAGTTACGAGCCACTTCCTGTTTAGTGGTGGGCCACGGCGGCGTGCGTGTTGGCCGGAGTGGAAACACGCTCTGGCTCAGACTTGGAGCACGTGTGTAAAATTTCAGGCCGATTGGAGCACAGACACAGCACGTCTCGTATTCTGGTGTTTTATGGCGTTGTGGCCAAATTCAGGGGGGCGCCATTTCCACGCCGTCACACTTGTGCGGACCGTTTTACTAACGTGTAATCACCACCTCCTGTAGTTTGTGCTGGCCAAATTTCAGGTGTGTACGAGCTTCCCTGTAGGAGGAGATAGATTTTGAAAATGGTCAAAAATGGCCAAAAGTCAGCCAAAACTCTCACAGGGGTTTTTCAAAATGACATACCTCCTGTTGGGTTTAGGGCTTGGCCATTTTGCCAGTGACATGTCCAAGTCCCTTAAAATATCAAATTTTTCGCCAGTCCTGATGTGCGTGGCGATTTCAATGAGTTTTTGAGCATGTTTAGGCCCTCAAAATCGCGTTTCAAAAGTCGGTAAAATAATAATAAATAATAATAATAATAATCACAACGGTTACAATAGGGTCCTTGCACCGTTAGTGCTCGGACCCTAATAAATAATAATAATCACAACGGTTTCAATAGGGTCCTTGCACCGTTTAGTGCTCGGACCCTAATAATCCGAGCAGTTCCAATAGGGTCTTCGCACCCTTTTGGGTGCTCGGACCCTAATAATCCGAGCAGTTCCAATAGGGTCTTCGCACCCTTTTGGGTGCTCGGACCCTAATAATC